AAACATATACGTGTATTGTTTATATATATATTTATTTATTTTCATTTTCGGAGGTTAGTGTGCGAACATAAATAAACTTTAAGTAAACTCTAACTGCATGTCTTGTTTTTGACATTTTTTTTGCCAATTAGGGCAATACTTTGTGACTTGTTGACTGATTAAGCTTGCTAGAGAAACTCTATTACAATTGTCCATTCTCTGTGGCAATTGTTAAAACGCTTATATATGCATATGGGAGAGGGCAGAGTTGACGCCTCTCACAAGCGTGAAAATATCAAAACCTACATATCGATTTGTTTCTCCCGAGGTGATCCAATGTTGTTATGTGCGCTTATGATGTAGATGACTTCAACGTGGCGGATGCATTCGCGAAATTCACGTACTGCCGGTTGTGCAGAGCGTATCGTCTGTAAGATACTTGTGATTGCATATTACCACTTAAAAGCTACTAGTGATTGCATATTACCACTTATAAGATACTAGTGATTGCATATTACCACTTATAAGCTACTAGTGATTGCATATTACCACATAAGCTACTAGTGTTGGCATATTACCACGTATAAGCTACTAGTGATTGCATACGGCGGAATGAACATACAAATGATACCAATGTGCACGACAGTCGTCATGTGCAACAACAACAAGAGTCATGCACTATATTTTTCAAAAATAGAAAGGCCCATACAGTGGATCTCTATATTTTAACTACAGCACCTCACTCGTCAAAGGTAGTCGGCTTGTACGATTTAATATAGAGCTGCCATCTAACCTGCCCAAACTGCAGCAAGAGCACATTGACTAGACTACCGACAAACGTGTTGTCATATACTATTGATATACTACTTCAATACATGCTGCTTTATTTAAATAGGTGTGTCCGGGCTGTTTACACCACCAGTCATACGGGTGCGTTCGATACAAATAACACCCACCCAAATAGGTAGTGCTTCTCCGACTAGGCAGTCATTGAATAGGAAGCACGAGGGTGCCTCAGCCGCTAATGGCAGCAACAGCGCCAGAACTACCAGACAGGTCGGTTTGCCATATGAGCATGTACAACCATTGCGACCTGAAAGTTATGCATGTACCTTTACATTGGACGTAGATTTCTTACATTTTTATTTGTGCTTTCCAGGGTTTAAGGGCCCAGGGTTCCAGGGTTTCAGGGGTTTATATTTACGTTGTTTGATTATTCGCACGTAGTAAGGACTGTGTTGTTGCGCGTGAAACTCAGTCCTGATAGCTCGTTGATTATTGGGTGATGGTATTCCAAGGATGATATAAAAAAACATAGAATGACTTGTAGGTTTTCGTGTATTGAACACTTTTATGAATAATGGTTGCTAAATAATTGTATTGATTTGCTTCAAAGTTTAACCAAACAGTGTTATTTACTGTCAAAAGGTAAGCTTCGTTTACACCCGTGTGCAAAGGTGTAAGTCTCTGTTTATGTGTGTGCTGATTGTCGGCAGACGACTGTTGTACTTTATATTTGAATGTATAGTTTGTTTGTCTCTAGCTACAACTATTCATCACTTTCTATCATCACAGTTATGAACAAATTGCATCTCATTTTAAAACAAGCTGTAAGGAACCTGTGAACCACACAAGGCATTATAGTTTGACTACAGGATATCATTTCATGAACGTAGACACACAACATTCCATGATCACTGCCCATTGTTTTGCGAGCTGAGCGGCATTTTATCCGTTATTCGGTTTTGTGCTTGAAGAGCCTGTAGAATTTCAAAATGCTGGAATCGCAGTGCATTTTATATTCACATTATCCTACTGTGTATAGCTTCATCCAACTATCAACTCCAAATTCTGTTCATGGAATAAGATTGATGCATCAGAACCTGGTCAATCTTTGCCTTATATGCGAATCGTGCAATCTGAGCTCACAGATTAATAGTCCCAAGCGCAGGTCATACTCGTACTGATCAATCAGAGTATTAAACGCATAGAGATCGGCCCCGCCTTTTGCTGTCTGGTTCACAGAGACACATTTGCTATTGCAAGAGAGTTGTTTTCGGTGCTATCTCCTGGGGCATTCGGGGCTATTTTAGCAGAACCAAAATGTAATTTCAGAACTTTAACAGTTGCCATATTTAGACTGCTTACTCGCAAATACTGCTACGCGATAGGAGCTGCATTCCTTGACGCAAAAGTTGACCTGCAAGGCTCTGCTCAACCATCACAAGTCAGCCGATCGCTAGGATCAAAGTGATCCCATGGAACTACCTGCCCCCAGCAGTGTCACCAAAGGGTCACCACTGTCGACTTTAGCGACTCGGGGGAGTGAGTACTCACGCATGTCGTTCAATGACTGTCAGTTGTTGTCCAATAAGGACATTCAGGTGCCCGAGGCCACTTCATCTGTATGTTCGGAACACTTGAGACTCCCTGAGCTTGGCTCATTCATGTGCGCGTGGATTGGTGTACATTTCTGGAATATGCTCGCATTGCACGTCAGTGGTTTGTGACACTCGTAGGTAGTTTCTGGTCATCCAGAGTCAGACAAACGGGGCTTCAAATAGCTGGCCTATTGGTTTGATCATTTTGTAGATTTATGCTAGCATCGTAGGACAGTGGTTTTTCACACTATTAGTCAGACTCTTGTCCTCTAGAAACAAATACGAAGGGATCTCGAGTCGTAGGTATATTGTAGATCGTTTCATGCTCACACTTTGGGTTCATGAAATCAACGATGTAGGAGAAGTGAACCTCTGCTTCGTAGTAAATGTCTTTCGTATGATGATTTGCATGTAAAAGTTATTGCCGTAAACTTAAAATTTGCAATCCTGGAAAAGGCAAATGCATCAGCGTGTTTGTCGTAAGTGCTCGGTAGTTGACATTCATGAACTATTACGATCGGTATCGTATCTGTCTCATCAACGATCCATAAAGTACCTATCTCTTCATATCGAAAGGAGGAACGCTTAGGTATTCGGTATATTGCGAAGATTTGAATAGCATGACATGTGTATGAAGAGATACTTCATCGCAGTCGATTCTTTTTACTTCGTTAAAATCAATGCATCACACACATCGATAATGCAAGGTGATCTGGTCGCACAGTGCGTCCTTATAGCGAATCACGATGAGCAGGCCTCGACAATTCTGCCGTACCCGTGAAGATACCTGTCTGACCTCTTATTGTCAATGTGTACCATTCTCGCACGCAATTGCGCACTCAGCGGTATCGATGGGAGTGTCAGAAGCAGTTGCAGATAAGAAACATAAAACTTCGAAATATCCATTGAAGGTAAGGGATGAAGAGAATGTATGTCCTATCTCCATCATAGCATATAGGCATGTATACATGTTTCGGTGTAGTCTGTTGTTTAATGTGTAGTGATCAGTAAAACAATCAGTATAAAGAAACCACACAGGCAAGCTCTACAATCTGTCTCAATGTTTTACTTCAAATAAATATCGCCACTCAAGTCGCCGATACCAACAACCACTCACTAGTGTATCTGTTAATACTATGTACTGCCGGATTGTTCTTGTTCTGGTTATCTGTATTCGGATGTGTCCAGCCTTATACAGCGTAGAGTTTTAACATTTGTCACAACACTATCGGCCGCGGTAGTAAAAGTGGTTATAGATCCAAGTAGACTTCAGTAGCAACCGAGTGCTACCCAGTGCATATCGTAGCATAGCTTAGTCGGTGAAGGTGGATGTCGAGTGCTGCCGGTCACTGAGAAGGTGCATGTATAGTACAAAACCCTAGACGATAACTACAAATGGACATGGAAAGATGGCTTTTTCAATAGTACATCTGAGCATACAAGACTATTTAGAGTTGCAGATCTTCCTCACGTATCTTAGCTCGAATTCACGACTATTAAACTTCAGGGTATCGTCCCATACACCACTGTGGCACACACAGATAATTAACGCATTTGATCCTGCCGGGGTGTCGTCGGTGGAGTTTGACATGGCCTGTATCGCCTCGTCTGACGAAGTACTGGCCCATGTGTGTCAGGCCATACACACTGACTTCACACCCACATGGGAGCTGGTGATAGTAACTAGTGGAGGTAATGTTATCCAAGAACAGAAAGCACACCATGCATGTGTGTATAGTACGCTTGTGCATGATCGGGTATATGGTGTACTGTTGTTCCGAA